GGTGACTATGGGCCAATGACCAGGAGACAGTGAGTTGTAGTTCCACCTTAAGCATGACAGCTAGCTGGATGAGTTTTTGGGCCAATGACGGGAGAGATGGTGAGTTGTAGTTCCACCTTGGGCATAAGAGGGTGGTTGGGCAACTATGAGATGGTGAGCTCTAGTCTTGCCTTGGCTACAAAAGCCAGCTGGGTGAATTTAGGCCATTTACCAGGAGACAGTGAATTGTAGTTCCACCTTAGACATGACAGCCAGTCATGGATGAGTTTTTGGGCCATTTACCAAGAGACAGTGAGTTCTAGTTTCACCTTAGGCACAAAAGCGTGGTTGGGTGAGTTTGGGCCAATCACCAGGAGATAGTTCTAGTCCTGCCTTAGGCAAGAAACTTGGCTGGGTAAGTTTGGGCCATTTACCAGGAGACGGTGAGTTATAGTTCTACCTTAGATATGACAGCCAGCTGGGTGAGTCTGGGCCAAACACCAGGAGATGGGAGAGTTCTGGTTCCATGTTAGGCATGAAGCCAGCTGGGTATCCAGCCCATCTTGCAGGATTATATTTGTGGGGAAAATAAGAGGGAGGGAAGGAGCATGAGATACATGTTTCCCACCTTGAATTATTGATAAAAACAATCTTTCCCCTCCCTTTCTCTCTCTATTTGTGTGTGTCTCATGATGTGCCAGCCCAGCCTCTGTCGTATTTGTGACTTGGTGTTCCTTGTAAAGTCAGAAAATTGGACAGTGTGCAAACAGCCACTAAGATTCAGCCTGTCACAGGATGCCTGAAAATGATCCCTTGAAGCTTTCCCTTGGCAGCTGCCTCCAGAAATCAGCTTGCATTGCTCCCGTTTCTCTTTTGAAGGCCACGATCAAGAGCTTCGGGAACAGAATATAATAGGACAAGGCAATAAGAGAAACAAAGTGTTCCAATGTTTAATGGCATTCAAAGAAAGACACACACACAAAAAACATGTTTCTACTAAGTCTTGATATTTTTATTCTGCGTTTAACCACAAAAGTTTGACATATACAATTTTTTTTTACAACCAAAAAAAAAAAAAAAAAGAGGTGGAAAATACATCCGAAAGGGGAAGATCTTATTTCATTTTTCTTTTTAAAAAAATCTCATTTCTGCCATCATTACATATCTCCGAAGAATAATAATAAAAATAAAAAAGAGAGACAGAAACCAAGAGATACTTCCCTGGGATGTACCAGGGTACATTCCAAGCTCACAAAAGTTTGGAAACATCCGTGGTGGGAAAAAAACGAAAGAAACCCCAAACACCTACGTATTTTGGGGTGGGAAGAGAGGAAGACACCAAGTTTACCTAAAGAAGTAAAAAAGCAAGGGGGAAAAAAAAACTGGTTAGCGAGATTGTAAGCTCTCTGAACGCTCCTCTTCCATCGGATTTATTAAAAGATATAAGCCTTAGATGTGCATCTTAGATCACTTGAAGTAGGTCGACAGAAGTTAACCAAAGAGCGTTTAGTGTTTTGGAGAGGTATACCCCCAATTTAAGAGTCGATACCCCCAATTTAAGAGTCGATCAATCGATCAAGCCTATCAGATGAGGAGGGATCTTCCAAAGTTTTCCTTTTACACTGATTTGTTTTCAGAGAACACAAAACGGGCCTCTTGAGGGGAGCCCGGATGTTTTTGACGGTTGCTGTCATTCAAGCTTTGAATAAAAAGAGAATTTAAGATTTTGGACGCAGCCGCCTGTCATCCATTCTGTCCCAAACAAGCCTTGGCTAAACCCATCGTCTTTCTCTCCAAACTTTTATTTTGAAACCAGAGGTGCCGGCAACTGGGAAGAAAAAAAAAAAAAATCTGATAAAAAGCAGAGGAGGTGTTTCCATAGGATCATTTATTTATTTATTTATTATTGAGGAAGAGGAGCTTTTGCTAACGTGCTCCTTTTGAAGAATTGTTTGCTTTGGCGGAGGCTGGGCGAGGAGGGCAGAGACACCAAAGCAGGTTTGACGGCACTGAGTAAAATCAATACGGGAATCAGAATTAGAAATAATTGCCCCCTTCATCATCTCCATGCTTGCTTCATTGAAACCCCATCACCTCCTTTCAAAAATCCAGGTTGCTAACGTCTCGGGGGGCCAACGCTGCTGGTGAATAAGACTTTATCCTCTCTGACAATCCAAAAATTTCAATCCCAGATAGGAAACCTGGTTTGTTTTTATGGCTTTGGGGGGCTGGGGGGGGGGTTTTAACGGTCTTCGGCTAATTAAAAAAAAAATAATCATCAAAGGCAGCAGCTGGGAAGAGGAAGGGAAGGGGATTGTTCAGTGATGCTTCCGGCGGGAGGATCAAGAGTGCAAAAATCTCTCCCCGCCGCCCCCAAACGCCAGCAACGGAAGAAATGGAAAAGTGCAGGAAATATATACGTTTTTAAGTATATATAAAAAAAGGATATTTGAGGGAAGGAAGGAGGAAAGGGGGGGGGGGGAGAAAAAAAAATCACACCGAAGTTTAGGCACCCCGAATTTTGCCCTTTCCAACAAGACGCGGATGGAGACAGGGTAAAGTTGGAGGGTTGAAAAACTCCCGCGAGCCTCTTGGGAGTTAAGGCGTGCTGCACCCGCGGGGAGAGAACTGCCTGAACCTGGACGATCGGACGACCGTGAGGAACGGAAGCAGGAACCTCGCTGGGGAAGTTCAGTTTCCCCGGAATGCGTTCTGAGCCGCCGTGGAGGCTGCCCCGCTAGCGGCCGTCTGAAAGTTCCTGTTGCTGAGGATGCCTTGGGAGAATTCTTCCTGCGCTCTCTGGAAGCTGGCGCCTGTCCGGCGATAGAGCGAGTGGACCTTTGGGAGTGGAGAAAGCAAAGTGAGGAGGTCAGTAAGAGCCCCGCCCAGCAGGTCCAGAACTGGCAACCGCCCATCCCTTGTTCCACTGGAGGAGACCAGCAGCGTGAGGGTGGCGGCACTCTGGCCGTTTATACAAATGTTGTACAGGTTGAATTACGAGCCTTCATTGAGCAAAAGTTATGGCGCCCCTCGTGTTTGACAGCTGTGGCGGCATCCTCCCCATGGCCAATTTTGTTCAATAAACCCATGGACTAGCACTGATGATATCTCGCTGGGTAATGAAACGTCTGCGAGAAAAGCACCAAGCTCAGAGAGCACCAAGGACCCCACAATCCTATACTTCCTCCTCTTCCTCTTCCATTTCCTCCTCCTCCTCTCCAAAACCCACCTCCCTTCTATGACTGATGAGGTTACCTAGCTGGGTAATTAAATGTCTGCAAGAAAACCACCAAGCTCAGAGACAACCAAGGACCCCTCATGTCAACCCTGAGCTACAAATATTCTCCTTTATCGGTACCATGGCTTAGTACCTCGAATGAACTACTAATGGGGCAAAAGCCCACCCAGGCACGACAAAAAGTATTCTAGAAGCATGCAAGTAGTCCTCGACTTACGACAGTTCATTTAATGACCGTTTGAATGGGGTTCAATGGTGTTGAATGGGACTGATGGGGTTTTAATTTTTAGCTTGTTAGTCTTAATTGCACTTTTAACCGTTAAATTATGAGATTTGGATTTAGTTTCTTTTTTTAACTTTTTCATTAGATGTTTTTTTACTGTTGTGAGCCGCCCTGAGTCCGGCTGGAGATAGGGCGGCATATAAATCTCATTAAATAAATAAATAAGTTACAACGGCACTAAAAATAAAAAAAAAGTGACTTATGAGCATTTTTCACGTGGATGACCGTTGCAGCATCCTCCTGGGTCATGTGATCGAAAATTCAGATGCTTGGCAAATGGCTCCTACTTACGACGGTTTGCCACCTTCTGACAAGCAGAGTCAATGGGGAAGCCAGGCTCGCTTTTAACGACCGTTGTTACTAACTTAACAGCTTCAGGGATTGACTTAACCACCATGGCAGGGGAAGTTGTAAAACGGGAACCAAACTCAATGTCTCGCTTAGCAACGGAACTTTTGGGCTAAACTGTGGCCGTAAGTCGAGGACTGCCCGTTATCAGTGGGGTAGACAACTAAGCTCCGTTAAGATATTCGGGGTCGGGGGATCCATCAGCCCCACTTGGCAAGAAGAAAGGGCGGGGAGATGTTGACCTCCGATTGCTGCAGAGATAAATTCCCTCCCCACCCACCCACCCCGGTGGGAAAAGGAGAAGGAACGAAGGCTACTTGGAGAACGCTGCGGAAAGGACTTGCAGGATTCTAGACCTGTCAATCATCTGTCTTCCCAACTCACTCGTTTCAGCAGGAAGAGGGAGAGCGTGGCGCAGGTTGTGAAGAACATGGCGACCACTATCATGATAATCTTCACGGCCAAGTTTGAGGTTGCGGAGAAGGCCAAAATCCAGCCACTGGAAGAAGAAGGGAAAAAAAAAAAAAGGAAGAGGGGGGAATATTGAATGAGTAGAAATTCAGATTCCGCTGGGAATGGAGAATCAAGAGACTTGACGTCTTGAACCTCTTGTTCTGACCGAGGTTCCCTTAAACAAGCAGGAGGCAGGAATTGGTGCCGGCAAAACCTCTTTGATTTACACGACTGTGGATGACGTTCATTCACAGTCAGCAAGGTTTGTCTGGACAGTTTTGCAAAGGAATATTTATCAACACAGACCTTATCTCGCTTGGCAAGCTGCCACGTAACTTGTTTCCAGTCGCAGTACAAGGCCAAACTTGGCACAGAGTCTCTCAGAGTCACGGAACGAACGAATTGTTTCCTGCAAAAGCCCACTCTCTCTATGCTGCTCTTTTATTTCCTATCGGAGGGGCCGATCACCTCCAAGGTATGGCTTTACTCCTGAGTCGACCCTGCTTTCTGAGTTGTTCTTGTCTTCTGGCAGCTCTGCGTATGCGCACATTGGGAACGGGCTCCAGCTGCTCCTCTGCCTCACTGCTGTCTATCTCCCTCTCTGCCTCCGATGCAGAGCCCTCATCCGAGCTTTCCCCAACCCCCAGGACTGGCCCAGGTTCCTCCCCAACCTCCTCACTGTCCGACTCTGCTGCCAAGACTGCAGAGACTGGAGGCCAGAGGTATCAAAGCCCCTTACAGTTTCCTCTAAGAGGCTACCTGAAAAAAACGAACAAATATCTCTTGTGCTGCAGAATTTTCTTTATAGAGAGGCCTGTTTGGCCTAAAAAGTGTCATGCTTTCACAGGTAATAGCTAGGAATAAATGTCTAGAAATTGTGAATGCTCCAATACCGAAGGTGCTTGAGAAGAGACTGGACAACCATTTTTTTTTTAAATTTGATTTATATGCCGCCCTTCTCCGAAGACTCAGGGCGGCTTACAATGCGTTAAGCAATAGCCTTCATACTTTTGTATATACCTGCTTAGTAGGGCTTTCGGGCTCCCCCACAAAGCGGTGTTCTTTTTTATACAAAGTCAGCTTATTGGCCCCACAATCCGGGTCCTCATTTTACCTATCTTAGAAAGGATGGAAGGCTGAGATTTGAACTCACAGTAATTGCAGGCAGCTGATGTTAATAACAGTGCTTTAGTCTGCTGCACTACCAGGGCTCTTGGTCTGGAATGGTATGGGCAATGGTATGCCTGAGCAGGGGGTTGGACTAGAAGACCTCCGAAGTCTCTTCCAACTCTAGTTATTCTGTCTATGGGAGATCCTCAGTCATCCAGGTCACAGTTGTCTCAAAAGTGCTTTTTTCAAAAGGGCGACTGGACTATTCTTGGTTTTTCCTTCTCGTCCCAGAAGCTTTGTCAGTTCTGGCAGGTTCACGGATGAGAAGCGAAACATCCTCCAAGGAAAAAGCAAGAAAAGCCCAGTTGCTTTTGGAAAAAAGCACCTTTGAGACAGCCAGGAATAACCAAACTCCAAGTCTAAGACTGTCCATAATTGGATAATTAGGGAAGAGGGTTTCTGCTTTTTTTTTTTTAATCCAGGATGCTTTGCTAATTGATGCAGGAAATAAATGTAATAAATTTAAAATAAAACTGCCTTCTATCAAGCTGAATAGATCCAACTTGGTTCACAGATGCAGTTGGGTTTCCTGGCCCATAAACTGCGGCGACATGAAGTCTGCAGACACCGCTGGTAAATTTTGCACGTGTCACTGACACACCCAAGATCCAGAAATACAAGACGAGCTGTCAGTTCTGGACAAAAGCCTCCTTGCACAATCAGCAACTATCTGTAAAGATAGTCTAAGGACTTTTATGGAGAGGGAGGGGCCCTGGGTTGCCTCCTGATGGAAGCCAGAACCGAGCATCTATACAACCAATTCAATTTGCGAAGTCCACATTGCGTGCAATCTGAATGGCTTGGGGCCTCTCCGTCGTTCTCTCCCTCCCTGGTTGACTTCTTCAAGTCAAATGATTTCAGGGCGTACAAACTACCTCCTGCCTCAAATTTGACTCGGTTTTCTTGGGGAAGGAGAAGGTGGAGGGTGACAGGGATGATGTTTGAGGACTGCTAAGTCCAGAATGCCTTAAAGTGAGTGAGAACGGAAAACATGGCTAGGGATGGAAAAAGAATGAAGGAGTGGGAGAGAGGGGGAGAGGAAGAGAGAGGGAGGGGGGAGAGCGAGAAAGGAGCAAAGGAGGACAGAGGTAGAGGGAAAGAGAAGGGGGAGAGAAAGAGGGAGGGGAGGGAGTGAGAGAGAATGAGAGAGTGGGAGAAGGGGATGGAGAGGGAGGGAGAGGAAGAGAAGCCGAGAGAGGGAGAAAGGGAGAGGGGGGAGAGAAAGAGAGGGAGGGAGGGAAAGAGTGAGGGAGAGGGAGAGAGGGAGAAAGAGGAGGGAGCGAGAGAGAGGGAAGAGGGAGGGACAGGGGACAGAGGGAGAAGGGGAGAGAGGGAGGAGGAGAGAGAGAAAGAGAGAGAGAGAGGGAAGAGGGACAGGGGAGAGAGGGAGGGAGGGGAGAGAGGGAGGGGGAGAGAAAGAGGGAGAGAGGGAAGAGGGAGGGAGAGGGAGAGAGGAGAAGAGAGAGGGAAAGAGGAAGAGAGGGGGGAGAAGGGGAGAAAAGGAGAGGGAGAAAGAAAGAGAAAGGGAGAGGGAGAGAGAGGGGGAAGGAGAGGAGGAGGAGAGTGAGTAGTGTGCACACCATTCACGGATCAGAAAACATGCAAGGTGGCGGGAGGAGGTGAGTACAAGCACGGGGGGGCGGATGCGTTCGAAAAGGTTAGAAGAAATACAGGCCTTTTGGGCGAAGATTGAGGGCAGGAAGCATGGAGTTAGAGGTGCTTCAGCTTGGATCTGTGGAAGCCGCAGACCAGGAGGAAAAAAAAAAAACACAGAAGAGGCTTTAGAAAAGGGGTAAGTAGTGGGGGGGGGAACGGACGGACGGGGGACCCCCAAGGCAGCAGCTCTCTTCGTCTGCCAGCAGCAGAGCCCGCTCTGCCCATCAGGGCTTCGGGATAGGCACGAGGCTTCTTACCTGCTCCCCCAATTAGGGATACCGACAGCCTGGACGATGTGTGCAATTATCTGGCAGAAGAAGATGAAGAAGAAGACAAAGAAACTGAAGGAGCTGTCAGACCTGTGGAAGAGACAGGGAGAGAGTCAAGACGGATCATTTCATGAACGTCAGGGGCCCCTTTTAAACGTCGGGGGCCACCCTCCGCCCTCCGGGAGGGACGTGGTCCCTTGCCTGAAAGCCTTGTAAACTGGCCGGTACCAACACAGGAAAGCACAAGGGGTGAACAAGACGAGCCACAAGATGGAGAGGCCGAAATCCGATCCCGTGGTGGTGGGCTCCACCGTAAACACCGCCAGGCAGGCGAGGACGTTTAACAGCAGGGTGACCGAGTGAACTGGCCAGGAGAGAAAAGAAAGGAAAAAAAAGAAAAAAAAAGAAAAATCAGCGGAAAAGCTTCGCTAAAGATCCGAAATGCGGAGGGAATTCCTCGAGGCCCGTGGGAACGACAAATACGGATGCTCTTAATCGCCTCCAAGGGTTTTTTTAAAAAAAGCTGGAGTGGTAACACGCCCCTGTGCATGGCAAGGACGCAATTCGAGGGCTGTTTTATTTGAAGAGGGGAGTCTCGGCCAAGTTCCTTCAATCGTTACCTCCGTTTGATGAACCAGGTTGTCCAAAGTGGGACCCTTTCCTCACTCTGCAAAATGCTTTCTAAGCTGTTGTTGGTTAAATTTTATTTATTTATTTTATTTTATTTGTTTCCATTTCTACACCGCCCTTCTCCAAACAGGACTCAGGGCGGTGAAGAGCCAAAGTAAAAAACAGAACATACAAAATTTAAAAAACAGTTTAAAATAATTAAATATTTTGGCCGTAAATTAAAACAACCCAATTTAAAATCAATTTAAAATTTAACTCAAGCCAGCCCAGCTAGTTGAAATAAATAGGTTTTCAGGGCCCGACGAAAAATCTTGGTTAAAGCCCTTTGCGGCTTGAGACCAGGTGATCTGAGGGACCGGTCTTCTCTTGCCGGTTACATCTACCCCAGGGGTGAAATGTAAAATTTGTTACTACCGGTTCTGTGGGCGTGGCTTGGTGGGGGGGGTAATGTGACTGGGTGGGCATGGCCAACTTTTCTTTTCTTTTCTTTTTTTTTTTAAACTTTTCAAAGCATTTTTTCTAATGCTTTGAAAAGCCTCTCTGCCGATCAGGCAACTCAGCTGGGATCGTCAGAGACTTTTCAAAGCATTTTTTTAACCACCTCTTTGGCCAAGAGGTTGCAAAAAATAAAAAATGCTTTGAAAAAGCCTCTGACGATCCCAGCTGAGCCGCGCGATCATCAGAGGCTATTTTTTTTGTACTTTTAAAAGCATTTTTTCATTGGAAGAGGTGGTAGAAAAAATGCTTTGAAAAGTTTTTTAAAAAAAGCCTCTGATGATCGCGCGGCTCAGCTGGGCATGGTGGGGAGGGGGGGGGGCACAGGGATTTTTGCTACCGGTTCTCCGAACCACCCGCCGCCATCGCTACCGGATCGGGCGATCCGGTCCGAACCGGGAGCATTTCACCCATGATCTACCCCCACCCATCAGAGCCGCGGGGAGGCAGGGAATGTCGCAGGTCCCATCACCTACTAGACCTTTTCCCAACGAACGGAGCTAAAGATCGTTTTTACTTAGAGGTTTAAGTCGTGGTGGAAACGGAAATCGGCAATATCAACCGTGTACCTCCAATTGGTTGTTTTTTACCTTTTTTTTTTTAAAAAAAAAAATTTAAACAACAAACAAAAATTCCCAATGTTTTCATTATCACGGAGAAAGCTTCCCGGCCTCTTTCGCTTCACCGCTTTTACTCACACATCCACAGGTAATACATCATTTTGCAAATGTGCTGATAGTCAGCTGGGATCTCCGCGGAGAAATCTTGATAGAAGCAAGGCTTGATGGGGCATATCTTCGGAAGCGGGGGCCAGTTGTTCTGTTTTGCTGGAGTGGAGAAAAAAAGAACGCATTTCGGGAAGGGCTTCCACCACGGTGCCGGAATTTGGAAGCCTGCCCAGAGGAGGGGATTGGAGTAGATGTCTTGCTCCACGGACACTTGAGCATTAAAGAGCGTAGAGAAGAGCAGTAATTAGGGAGATTGGAGGCTAAAACATATGAAGAACGGTTGCAGGAACTGGGTATGTCTGGTTTAATGAAAAGGAGGACCAGGGGAGACAGGATAGGAGTCTTCCAATATCTCAGGGGCTGCCACAAAGAAGAGGGAGTCAAGATATTCTCCAAAGCACCTCAGGGCAGAACAAGAAGCAACAGATGGAAACTAATCAAAGAGAGAAGCAACTTAGAACTAAGGAGAAATTTCCTGAGAGTTAGAACAATTAATCAGAGGAACAACTTGCCTCCAGAAGTTGTGAATGCTCCAACATTGGAGGTTTTTAAGAAGAGGTTGGATAACCATTTGTCTGAAGTGGTGTAGGGTTTCCTGCCTAAGCAGGGGGTTGGACTAGAAGACCTCCAAGGTCCCTTCCTGATCCGTTATTCTGTTATTACTCACGGTTAAAGCCGGCTGCGCTGTTCTGCAGTTCGCGCTCCTTTCTGTCCAGCTCCGCAGCTTTCCTTTCTAATTCTTCTTGCTGTTTCAGGAGCCCAGCCTGTGCTGCTGAGGCCACAGACTGAAGGCGGGGAGAAGCAATAAAGATTATTAGAAAAGGAGAGGGGAGGGTTAAAGTAAATTCTAGGGGGTGGGCAGGGGTGCTAGGGAAAGAACCTGTACCTATAATCGTTTTGGAGTGGAGGTTTTGCTTTCTGGTCCTTAAAAACAGCTTTTTTTCGAACTTGGCAATTTTTAAGATGTGTGGACTTCAACTCCCGGGATTCTCCTGGGCTGAGGAATTCTGGGAGTGGAAGTCCACACATCTTAAAGTTGCCAAGTTTGGAAAAGCGCTGCCTTAAAAGCATACAGAAGGGACGCGGTGGCTCAGTGGCTAAGACGCTGAGTTTGTCAATCGAAAGGTCGGCAGTTCAGCGGTTCGAATCCCTAGTGCCGCGTAATGGGGTGAGCTCCCGTGACTTGTCCCAGCTTCTGCCAACCTAGCAGTTCGAAAGCAGGTAAAAAAATGCAAGTAGAAAAATAGGGACCACCTTTGGCGGGAAGGGAACAGCGTTCCGTGCGCCTTTGGCGTTGAGTCCTGCCGGCCACATGACCACGGAGACGTCTTTGGACAGCGCTGGCTCTTCGGCTTTGAAACGGAGATGAGCACCGCCCCCTAGAGTCGGGAACGACTAGCACGTATGTGCAAGGGGAACCTTTACCTTTACCTAAAAGCATACAGGCCTTCTGCAGATCCAACATTTTCACTCCAACCCAGCCTTTTAACATTTAATTTATTCTTATTCTTTGGTTTTATCTGGCTCTTCTTATTGATGTATTGCAATTTTATAAGGCTTTTAGGCCTTTATGTTTTTCGCTGGGAGTTACCTGTGTGAGGGACATGGCTGGTAGCTACATTTGATCAACGAATTAAGTAATAAATAGCGGCACCATTAAATACTTAAGTTTTAGGATTTTGGAAGAATTTGGTTATCTGTTTCTAGGTTTTTCCGAGGAGCCAATTTTTTTTAAAAAAACAGCAACCCCACCCCAGGCTCTCAAAATGTATTGCCAGCCAATGTTTTGTGATTTTTCTTTCTAGAAAATTTAGCATACGAAATAAAAAAAGAATTTCAGAAGTGCTGATAGAAGAAACTTTTTGAACTTTCTCCCTCGAGGGGCAGATATCGCCACCTCTCCCTTTTCTGCTTTCCCAGGTCCTTGTCCCAAACGTAATTCCAAAAAACGGCATCAGGAAAGGACTGGTATCTCAGAAGAGAAATGGGTTTTGCGATCAGGAGGAATAAAAACGTAAAGCAGGATCCCTCGGGAGGAGAAGTGATTACAGGTAGTCCTGGACTTACAACCGTTTGTTTAGGGGGACCGTTGGAAGTTACGACGGCACTGAAAACATGTTTTCTCCACTCACGACCACTGCAGCGTTCCTGTGGCCACGTGATCAAGGTTCGGAGACTTGGCAAGTGACTCGTATTTATGACAGTTGCAGTGCCCCCGGGTGGGTCACGCAATCCCCTTCAGAGACCTTCTGACGTACAAAATCAACGGGGGAGCCTGATTCGTTTAACGGCCGTGTGACTAACCCAACAACTGCCGTGACTTAACAAGCGTGGCACAGAGAGTCGTCAAACGGGGCAAAACTCACTGAATAAATGTCCCACTGAACAACAGAAACTTTTGAGCTCAATTGCGGTCGTAAGTCGAGGAGGCCCTGTAACTTCCTAGAGGAGGGGTCTCCAATCTTGGCAACTTTAAGCCTGGTGGACTTCAACTCCCAGAATTCCCCAGCCAGCTTCCTTGGCAGCTTTAAGCCTGGCGGACTTCAACTCCCAGAATTCCCAAGCCAGTTTCCTTGGCAACTTTAAGCCTGGCGGACTTCAACTCCCAGAATTCCCCAGCCAGCTTTCTTGGCAACTTTAAGCCTGGCGGACTTCAACTCCCAGAATTCTCCAGCCAGCTTTGCTGGCTGGGGAATTCTGGGAGTTGAAGTCCGCCAGGCTTAAAGTTGCCAAGATTGGAGACCTCTGCCCTACAGGAAGCGATGCAAGATTCTCTGCTGGTGGCATTTGCTACCCTTCGCGTTTTACCTGCCGTTGACTCTGACTGCTGCTGTCCTCTAGCAACTTCTGCCTCTCTGAACCTTCTGAACTTGCTGAGATGAATTTAGGAGTCAGGTACTTGCTGGCCTGTCTAAGCAGCAGCTGCAACACACAACTAGGCTTGTTCTAAGCTTACGGGACGGGCCTGATCCGCTATCTTCTGCAACTGAGTAAGTGGCCCTCAAAACAGGTTAGACAAGTCAGGCAAGGGAAGAGGAGAAAAACGGCACGTGGGAAAATACAACCACCGGGAATATACTTAAAACGCATCTCCTTCCCCATGCAAAGGTAGAAAATTAAATTATTCTTTATGATTTCGTGTTCTTTGAAAACGGAGCTCAGAGAGGCCGCATGCTCCATTTTCGCTGGCAGAGGGCTGCAGGAGGCTGTTGCAGCCGAAAACGGAGCCTTGATGAGTACGTTGAGCTGGCCATGCCTACCCTGGCCACGCCTCCCGGCCCCCCGAGGTCAAACACAACCCTGATGTGGCCCTCAATGAAATTGAGTTTGATACCCCTGTTGTAGACATTGTCAGCACTTCAAGCTGCATTTACTCTAGTGCTGACATAAGGAGGAGGAGCGGAGGCGTTTGGAAAGGGAAGTTTGACTTTTCACCTACTTATTTTCCCTGGAGATAATATCCCCTAGGAGATGGGATGGGACGGGGGAAATTCCTTTGAGCTGGAGCAGTAGATTAGGGGCAGAGTGACTTGGAAGATGGCCAATGAGTGCAGGGGAGTGGGGAATGGAAAGGGAGGGTTTTGGGACTGGAAGTCAGTGTTGGCTGCAATGGAAGTCAGAATGTCGTGCTTAATAAATAGGAGTTTTCTTCAAAGACTTTGTTTGAAATGCAATTTATTTGAGATGACCTCGAAATCTGACAGACATCTCATGACCCAACTAGGTAACATCATCAGTGCTAGAAGGAGTGGGGTTGGAGGAGGAGGACGACGGCTGTGGGATCATTGGTGCTCTCTGAGCTTGGTTGTTTTCCTGTAGACCTTTCATAACCCAACTAGGTAACATTATCAGTGCTACAAAGGAGTGGGGTTTGAAGGGTGACGTTATCCAGTTTGGGGATGAAACTACCAAGCTCAGAGAGCACCAAGGACCCCAGAGGCAAAAGAGAGAAGCGAAGAATGAACTAAGGGAAACAAAGAAAATTTCAGCAAAACTCCTTCAGTGGCCAGGGGAGTTCTAAAATTAGAGAGGGGTTTGGCAGGAAATATTCCAGTTTACGCGAGTGAAATAAAAGTGACAGTGGCAGGCGATTGATTTAATCCACCCTGGTCACATGTCACATTCGTCTTCTTCCTTCTTGGCCCTCCTCCAAATGTGCAGAGACCACATCTCCCAGAATCCTTTGAGCAAGCAAGCTAGCGAGCTATGAACCTTGGGAGTTGGAGTTGGAATCCCAATCTAACTGGACGAAGGGAGTGGCAAGGAGTGTTCCAGATTAAAAAATCCAGAACATAAACTTGTTTCCTCTTCCTTATGAACAGAGGCCAAAAAAAACAAACAAACAACACACCCCAATATGCACAAAAAAAAATATTAAGATACCTTTTCCAGAGGATTATCAACCTGATCAGCACTACATGGGCCTGTCTGTTATGGGATAGCCCTAGGATAAGGGATGAAGTCCTGCAGAGACAGACTCTAATAATGCAAGGAGTAAATTGGGGTGGGGGGCACACCTGTGGGGTGGGCTCCACAGAAGTCTGTAGCACCGCAGGTTGAGAGGCGCCAGCAGGCTGTGTTGTTGGGATGGTCTGAGCTGCATTTGTCTAAAGGATGAGAGCAAAATATTATTATTATCTGTATTCATTAAATATGAAACTCAGTCAACTGAATATTCAAAAATGCATCACAAATACCATTGACTGGTGCTAATGGTTGATATGGGTTGCTGCCAGCATCCTAGGGATCAACCAAGTATCAACCAAATATACGATGTTCTGAGTAGCACAGTTTTTTGCAGTTCCGCTGGTGTTATTGCAGGAAGCTGCAATTTCTTGAAGTGTTTTGTGAAATTCTTGGACATGGTACCAAGTGTCCCAATGACAATGGGTATCACTGTGACATGTTTCATCCACAGGTGTGTAGTTTCTGAATTAATAATAATAATAATAATAGTAATAATAATAATGATGATGATGATGATGAAATTTGTCTGTCACCCCGCAAGGTTTCTCTCTAGGCAGCTTACAACTTCAAAATAAAACTGTATGTAAGTATATATGTATAATTGCAACAAAAATACAGGTTATAACTAAAACTTAAAAAATGGGGAGGAAGGGAGCAGATATCAGAAAGTGGGAGATAAGAGATAAGACAACCGGCTCCTAATTATTTATTAAAAAAACATTTATGTGGTTACTTAGGACCCAGATTGTTGGGGGCAACAGGCTGATTCTGCAAACCGCTTAGAGACGTCTGTAAAGCACTATGAAGTCTAAGTGCAATTGCTATTTAATAATATTAATATTAATAATTTTATTTATATACCGCCCTCCTCCCGAAGGACTCGGGGCGGTGTACAGCCAAAATTAAAAACATAAATATACAATATCATAGTTAAAATTAATTAAAATCATTAAATAGTTTTGGCCGAATTTTAAAACCCAAAGTTAAAACTCAATTTAAAATCATTCAATTAGACAGCCCCGCCTGTCGGAACAGTAGAGTCTTGAGGGCACAGCGAAAGACCCGGAGATCAGAGATGTTACGAATATTCAATGAATTTCAACCAACTTTGGACAGCTCCCCAGCAAAACGTTTAAAAGCACATATAAAACCACTGATAGTTGTACAGCATCAAAGAAATATTCCCCCACAGGGATTCCACCATGGTGGGCCGTTCAAGGCTGACTCTACCCCGCTGAACTTACTTGCCGAGAATTCTCCGAGAAGGGATTGAATTCATCCAGGGTACCTTGGTTCGCATTGGCCAGCTGAGTGACCGAAGGATCCTGGAGGAGGAGGAGAAGAAAAGAGGAGGAGGAGGAAAAATATTAATAGGTTTCCTGGAACACGTCAGGGGTGTATGCTTAATTTTAGATGAGGTTCTTGGACCCGTTCTGCTTACAGTCTAGACTGCCGTTTCTCAACTGCGTGGATTTTAAGGTGGCTGGGAATTCTGGGAGTGGAAGTCCACCCATTGCTAAGTTTGGAAAACATTTCCTTGAAAGCATTCAGGCATCCTGCAGACCCAGCCTTTTTACTCCAACCCAGCCTTTTAACATTTAAATTCTCAAGAAACCCACCTCCACCTCCTAACCAGGATGGCTAAGGACCAATGGTAGTTCCCTGTGCTCCCAAAGTGGGCAACTATAAACCCCTAAAACAGGCAGGTTAGTCCCAAAACAAAGAAAATCCTTGATTTCAAATTCCAAATTCGAATTCCACCAAATGTAGCCACGTACTTTGTAGCCCCCAACCCTCCCACTGTAAAGGGGGCTCTCGGCTACCAAAATGTTGCGTCTCCCTGTGCAAAGCTGCAACTAAACAGCCTCCATTACAGCTTAGCCCGGATAGGTAAACTTTGCAAACTCCATTTAATGGATAACTTCGGGCAAAGTCCTGGCACTCCCACCTGAAGCAATGTTGTTATGCAGCTTTGTGAATCACTCCAGGGAGGGAAACAGGTACACATGGCAGGTAAAGTGGCCTGAAAACCGGTATAGGTAGTTCTCAACTTATGACCGCAATTGAGCCTAAAATTTTAAGCTTGGTCAGTGAGACATTTGTTCAATGAATTTTGCTCCGTCTTACGACCTTTCTTGCCACGGTTGTTAAGGGAATCAATGCGGCTGTTAAATGAGTAACTCGGTTAAGTGAATCTGGTTTCCCCAAAGTCAGCAGGGAAGCCAGATTCGTTTAACGACCGCGAGACCAACTTATCAACGGCAGGGATTCGCTTAACAACCGTGGCCAGAAAGGTCGCAAAATGGGGCAAAGCTCACCTAACAGATGTCTCGCTTAGCAACAGAAATTTTGGCCTCCATTTGTGGTCGTAAGTCGAGGACTGCCTGTATTCCAAAACAGTCTGTCTTAAAGGATTATGTTTTTATTTGATGACATTTGATTTCCTGGACCAAGAAGATAACCGTTTCCTTTCGAGTAGGTTAAAGAAAAGTTTGCTTCAGACTTGAAAAAAAATTAAAAAGGGAAAGAACCCAATAATACCGAAACACGGATTTCATGACTTGAACGTACCTAAATGGAATTGTTTAAAAACAACCAATTAGACACATAGATTCTGCTTTAAGTACCCACAAAATTTAATATCGTAGGAGAAGCAGCGTCCTGAAAAAGACATCACGGGACAGGCTGAACAAACCTGAAAGTCTGAAAGAGGGATTGGCGGCTTGACTGAAATTACGGAATCCCGGCTTTATAAAAGGGAAGAGAGGCGGCTCGCGAATTGCATCACTTTGTTTTGTCACGCATAGTTTGCCTAAGTGTGAAAGTTGGACTTCCTGAGTAGGGTGTCGTTTTAATTTGTAAATGTGCCCTCGAGGCTTCACAAAGGCCTCTTGAGAGATTCTGGAGATCCAGTTCACCTTCTGGTTAATGGAGGTGTTGTCACATCTTCATATCTTTGTGTGTGTGTGTGTGTGTGAGAGAGAGAGAGAGAAAGAGAGAGTGAGAGGGAGGGAGGGAGGTGTGTGTGTGTGTGTGTGTGTGAGACAGGGAGAGAGAAAGAGAGACATGTGTGTGAGAAAGAGAAAGAGGGGGAGGGGGAGGGAGGGAGAGAGGTGTGTGTGTGAGAGAGGGAGAAATGTGTGTGTGTGTGAGAGAGAGAGAGACGTGTGTGTGTGTGTGAAAGAGAGGGAAAGAGTGTGTGTGAGAGAGGGAGGGAGGGAGAGAGAGAGAGACGTGTGTGTGAGAGAGAGAAAGAGAGAGAGGGAGGAGAGAGACGTGTGTGTGTAAGAGAGAGAGGGAGGGAGGGCGGGAAAGACATGTGTGTGTGAGAAAAAGAGAGAGAGAGGGAGGGAGGGAGAGACGTGTGTGAAAGAGAGAGAGGGAGGGAGGGAGAGAGGTGTGTGTGTGAGAGAGAGAGAGAGAAAGAGAGAGTGAGAGGGAGGGAGGGAGTGTGTGTGTGTGTGTGTGTGTGTGAGACAGGGAGAGAGAAAGAGAGACATGTGTGTGAGAAAGAGAAAGAGGGGGAGGGGAGGGAGGGAGAGAGGTGTGTGTGTGAGAGAGGGAGAAATGTGTGTGTGTGTGAGAGAGAGAGAGACGTGTGTGTGTGTGTGAAAGAGAGGGAAAGACGTGTGTGTGAGAGAGGGAGGGAGGGAGAGAGAGAGAGACGTGTGTGTGAGAGAGAGAAAGAGAGAGAGGGAGGGAGAGAGACGTGTGTGTGTAAGAGAGAGAGGGAGGGAGGGCGGGAAAGACATGTGTGTGTGAGAAAAAGAGAGAGAGAGGGAGGGAGGGAGACGTGTGTGAAAGAGAGAGAGGGAGGGAGGGAGAGAGGTGTGTGTGTGAGAGAGGGAGAGAGACGTGTGTGTGTGAGAGAGAGAGAGGGAAAGACGTGTGTGTGAGAGAGAGAGAGGGAGGGAGAGACGTGTGTGTGTGTGTGTGAGAAAAGGAGAGAGAGAGGGAGAGGGAAGGAGGGAGGGAGAGACGTGTGTGTGAGAAAAAGAGAGGGAGGAGGAGGGAGAGGGAGACGTCCACAACAACTATGTTGTAAAGGTCTCTACGACACCCTCTCTAAACTCTAGATCACGGGCGTCCACCCTTGGCAACTTTTAAGACTTATGGACTTCAACTCCCAGAATTCCATACTGGCTGGGGAATTCTGGGAGTTGAAGTCCAAAAAATCTTAAAGTAGCCAAGGTTGGACACCCCTGATCTAGACAGTTATCTAGCCGCGTCGTGTGCCACAGAGACTTTTCCGACGAGGCTACGGAATTATTCCGTTATGTATTACAAAACCTATGTGCAGCGGCAGAGTCAATTAGCTTCTGCTCTACAGTCCCACGCCCAGTTCAAGAAAACAAAACTTACAAGATTCCAGCTGCCAACTCCTTTGGCAAACAGAGATACCTTTCCAAGATGACCCAAATATATATATATATATAAATTAAGATTCAAGTTGCCTTCTAGAAATGGGAGAATCTCCCCGAGGGGAATTACTCACCACCAAGCAGCTCTTGAGGCAACAAGGACTTTTAACAACTTCAGAATTTCAAAAGTGAGGGAGAAAGTGGCGATACAAGGAGGCGACAACACGTCAATCAACACGCCAATCAACACGCCTGTCGTGTGAAGCCAGCTAATCGGAGACATTTTGTTTTGAGACTAGACGGGCTCTGCCAGACACGGATGCAACAGCTGACTCAGCCCAACGGTTTGCTTCCTGAGGATAGGGATATCTTCTGTCAATCAGCTGATTGGCGTTGCCAAAAAAAGAGAGAGAGAGAGAGAGAGAGGAACTGTTCGGAGAAAAGGCTGTATCAGTCACTGGCGATTGTGCAAATGGAGGCATGTCTTTGGTCCGGAGTCAAGATTGCCTTTGTGGAAGCATAGAAATGGGTTGGATACAATCACACGGAGGCTGGATATTGGGTTAAGCAGCTTTCCTTGGGGTTAGAACCATAGAATCCTAAGGATGGAAGGGACCTTGGAGGTCTTCTAGTCCAGGGGTGGGCAACCCGCAGGGTTTTAAGAAAAAACTATTCTATTTTTATTCTACTCCTGCGAGTCCCTTGGACTGCAAGGCGATCCAACCGGTCAGGTCTAGAGGAGATCAACCCTGACTGCTCTTTAGAAGGCCAGATCCTGAAGAGGAAACTCAAATCCTTTGGCCACCTAATGAGAAGGAAGGACTCCCTGGAGAAGAGCCGAATGCTGGGAACGATGGAGGGCAAAAGAAGAAGAAGGGACGGCAGAGAACGAGGTGGCTGGATGGAGTCACTGAAGCAGTCAGCATGAGCTTCAATGGACTCCAGAGGATGGTAGAAGACAGGAAGGCCTGGAGGAACGTGGTCCATGGGGTCGCGTTGGGTCAGACATGACTTTGCAACTAACAACAGCAACAAAGGAAGGCTGAGCGCCAAAGAATTGAGGCCTTTGAACTCTGGTGCTGGAGAAGACTCCTGCGAGTCCCTTGGACTGCAAGGCGATCCAACCGGTCAGTCCTAGAGGAGATCAACCCTTGACTGCTCTTTAGAAGGCCAGATCCTGAAGAGGAAACTCAAATATTTTGGCCACCTAATGAGAAGGAAGGACTCCCTGGAGAAGAGCCTAACGCTGGGAACGATGGACGGCAAAAGAAGAAGGGGACGGCAGAGAACGAGGGGGCTGGATGGAGTCACTGAAGCAGTCAGCATGAGCTTAAATGGACTCCAGAGGATGGTAGAAGACAGGAAGGCCTGGAGGAACGTGGTCCATGGGGTCGCGATGGGTTAGACAGGACTTCACAACTAACAACAACAACAATTCTACTTTTTGTAAAAACGGGTGTCATGAGTTACGAACTGTGCAGGAGTAACTGGGCCAAGCAATAGTTAAAACCCTACAGGCTAATCTCAGAAGTAAAACAACGTGAAAAGATTAATCTATCGTAAGGAATTCAAGCAGATCCGCGGTTCTCAAAAGAATCACTAAATGTTGTAAAAAATCAGTGCAGAAGTCCATCTCATTAGATACAATGTCATAAATCCATGTTTATTTTTTTTAAAACAAAAACTCTACCTAAAGGTTCCTAAGGGTTGTACCAAAAGTTACAAAAGTTATCTTCCTACTAGCTTGCAATCTGGAATAAAAGGCACACAGTATTTTCCGAGTGGAAATGCTACATTTCGCAAGCATGAAAATATCTGCGGGAGATAACTTTAGTTAAAAACTCCTTCCTGGGTAAAGAAAGAAAGGCAAGTTGGCTCGGGGTGCCTTAAGTTAACAATTCTCGCGTCTTGTCATGAGGAAAGAGAAGTTAATGGATTAAGAAAAGTGTTACAAAGAAATTCCGCAGGACAAAAAAACCCGACTCTTTGAAAGTGACGTTCAAACAAAAGAATATTCCCCCCCCCTTATAAATCAATAAAACTATAAAGTCCCAATTTCTTCACAGTTCCAAAATGGGAGTAATTTTATTTTTATCCTCATCTCAAATCCATCAATTAAGCTAACCTAGGAATAAAAACTGATCTTGAACAGGAAATTCCTACTTCTCTTAGGTCTAAATCAATTTACAAATGAAGGGTGAAAAACTTTAAAAAATAGTATCTGGCATAGGTTCTGTTCCATTGTTAGGGACATGGAACGACAAACTTCAAAGCCTTTGCAGCAGAAATCCATGCTTTTCAGCAGAATTGTGAGGAAAGCAACAGGAAATGTGTCTTAAAAGCTGTAAAATCAAATAAAAGAGCAGATGAATTCTGTGCCAGATTACGAATAGTAACACTCCTTACACAGCAGAGTTTCAACGACTAGTCATATTTAGCAAACAGTATATACCTTGCAGGGTATATACTGGACAGGGATGCGGTGGCTGAGTGCCTAAGATGCTGAGCTTGTTGATGGAAAGGTTGGCAGTTCAGAGGTTCAAATCCCTAGTGCCGCGTAACGGGGTGAGCTCCCATTACTTGTCCCAGCTTCTGCCAACCTAGCAGTTCGAAAGCACGTAAAAAATGCAAGTAGAAAAATAGGGGCCACCTTTGGTGGGAAGGGAATAGTGTTCCGTGCGCTTTTGGCGTTGAGTCATGCCGGCCACATGACCACGGAGACGTCTTCTTCGGACAGCGCTGGCTCTTCGGCTTTGAAAAGGAGATGAGCATTGCCCCCTAAAGTCGGGAACGACTAGCACGTATGTGCGAGGGGAACCTTTACCTTATATACCTTGCATTTAAAAGATCACAAGCAGGGCATTAAAAAAAGACGAAGAAAACCCTTTGAAAAATAGGGCAGGAAATATCTTAGCAAAGTGGAACAAAACAGCAGCAAAATCAACCCCAAAACCTAGCTGATATTTCAAGTAAATTATGTAACTTTGGCTCTGCTCATACATAGCTTGCTGAACAGTTATTTACCCCGATCAATTTATTCCGATCAGAGAACCTCAAACAGCAGATTAGAAACCTCCTCTAGAACCCTTGTTTAGTATCCACCTCCGAGAACAAATATCATTTTTGTGTTGTTATATTATCTATATATCCAACAGACGAAACAGCATTCCCATACTGGAGAAATGAGCGACTTGAAACAAATCTGAAACTAATCTATTGAGCGCAATCATGTTTACATTTTGTCGTTTTTTCCCCTCCTCTCCATCTTTCGTCAAGAAGTTCAAGACAGGCAGTGCAATTAAAAAACCCCTTCGCACTACACTGCCGTATGCTAAAATAGAGATGGGTAGTTTGTGGCTTACAGTAATACAGGAACCAAGCTATCATGTTAAAGCACAAAATGGCTTATTTGCTCCGGCATATTACGTGAACAGAAGCAGCTATGTTTTTATTCCTAGGGCCAGTGTTAAGCATTCATCCAGCTAAAAGATAGGAATCCGAGAAAGAAAGCAGGAAACTGTCTAAATTAGCTGAAACCGCAACGAATGTTAGGGACAAACACATTTCTTAATTAAATTGAGCTGACTGCAATTTATTTATATGTTACATTTGTATCTCACATAGAGAGTCTGGGCTGCATACGTAACAAAAACACGTATGTAAAAAAAACATTTAAACCTCACTTTAAAAAGACAAATGATAGCAAACGTACAGTGTGCAATAGAGAACCAACATACAACTGTCTCACTAGCTCCTCATTATCACGGGATCCCCAAATTTGTTGACAAATGTTTCCAGGACATTCTGAAAAGTTAACGGGGTTGGGACCAGCCTCACCATGGGGGAAAAATGAAGTTTCAACAGGGCGGGGATTATAAAAGAAAATGCTTTCCTCCTGGTTTTTAAATATCACAATACCCTTAAATGCTGTTTTGGCTGTAAGAGACTGACATGGCTACTTCTTTGGAGAAATCAATGAAGGCAGGGGTTTCCAAACTTGGCAACTTGGACTTTAATAATTTTCAGAATTCTTCAACCAGTTATGTTGGTTGAGGAATTCTGGGAATTGAAGAACCACAAGTTGTAAAAGTGGCCAAGACTGGAGTCCCCTCCCTGGGTTAAGGAAACAGATTGTCACACTTTCCCTAGAAATCAGATTCACTAAAAAAAAAATCAGCATATTTCATCTTTTCTTGAGTGGGGGGGAAGGGGAAAGTGTTATTTATTTCCTTGTATTTATTTATGAAATGCATAAGCCACCCCTCTCACTGTTGAGCAACTTTGAGTGGCTTACAACATCATAAATCATGTTTCGCCTATACTTTGGGCCCTGTGGATGGATGGCAGCTTGGGAGTTTCCTGGGCAGGAAGGCTAAACCCAGCTGACCTTTGTTCGGTCACTATTCCTAGGGCTAATTTTTCCTCGACAAGGAAAAAAAAGCGAAATCTAAATGAGAAGCAGCTCAAAAGCTGAAAAAGGGGGCCACAAAATTGGGGTGCCAACTGGCAAAAAAACCACCCACCTCTCCTCCAATCCAGACCCACGAATCCCTCTGGAACCCCTTTCCCTCCACCCTGCCCCCCACCCCAGAATTCCCAGCTCAGGGGTGGTTGGGAGTGATGGGAGTTGTAGTCCTAACCTACTTATGGGGCGAGGAGTACCAGGTGGGGCAGTGGTGAAATCCAAATTTTTTTACTACTGGTTCGGTGGGCGTGGCTCGGTGTGCATGGTGGGCATGGCTTGGTGGGCGTGGCAGGGGAAGGATACTGCAAAATCTCCATTCCCCCCCACTCCAGGGAAAGGATAATGCAAAATCTCCATTCCCACCCTACTCTGGGGCAAGCCAGGGGTGGTATTTGCTGGTTCTCCGACCTACTCAGTTTCCGCTACTGGTTCTCCAGAACCTGTCAGAACCTGCTGGATTTCACCCGAGGTGGGGCATAGGGTGGGTGCCTGGACAGGACTGGGAAACCAAAGGCTCAGATCCACCCTGTCCCAGAATTCCCAGCCCAGGGGCGGTTAGGAACGATGGGAGTTGTAGCCCTAACCTACTTATAGGGCGGGGACTACCAGCTGGGGCATGGGGTAGGTGCCTGGGCAGGACAGGGAAACCAAAGGCTCAGATCCAGGCTAAACCCAGCTGACCTTTGCTGGGCCACTATTCCTAAGACTAATTTTTCCTCTAACAGGAAAAAAAAAAAAAAAAGCCAAATCTAAATGAGAAACTGCTCAGAAGCCGAAAAAGGGGCCCCACAAAATTGGGGGTGCCAGCTGGCAAACCCCCCACCACCACCCCCTCCTCCTCCTCCTCCAACCCAGACTCACGAATCCCTCTGGAACCCCTTCCCCCCCTCAGAATTCCCAGCCCAGGGGCGGTTGGGAACGATGGGAGTTGTAGTCCTAGCCTACTTATGGGGCTGGGAGTACCAGGTGGGGCATGGGGAGGGGGGGTGCCTTGCCAGAAGACCCCATTGGGGGTGGTGGTCAGGTTACTTCATTGCCCCCCTCCCATGAAGTATATATGCCTCCCCTCCCCCGCCCACAATTAAAGTGAGGCCTACCCCCTCCCCCCCAAAGTGGGGGGAGGGGGAGAGACCCGAAGCTCGGCCTGGCTTACCTGGAAGGGATTGACCTCCACGGGATCCGCGAAGGGGTTCGCGTCGAAGGCCGACATGGCCGCTTTTTTTTTTAACTTGCCCGCCACCCGGGACGAAGACCCCCCGCCGCACCTGTTCTCACCCGGGTCCGCTTCCTGCGCCCCCTTAGAAACCGCACACACTTCCGGGAGGAAGGCTGGTTTCCGCCCTCCCCTTTCGCGTCGGGCTCCGGCTGCGCCTGCGCAGTTCCGCCCCCGGAGGGCGAGGCGCCGTTCTTTTGGCACGTGACAAAAAGCAAGCTCCGCCCCTCCACCTTGTGATCTCATCGGCAGGCCGGAGGAAGAGGAGGAGCGAGGTGAGAAGGGCGCGCATGCGTAAAACGTCTTTTTTTTTTTTTTAAAATGTGTGTTTTGGTCTTCGCTCGCCTTCCGGGGGGCGTACACAAGGAAGATGGAGTTCCTGAAGTTGGGGTTTGGGGGGGGGGGGGGGGCGGGAAAGAAGATACACCGTGAGCATGCGCGGGCTTTGTGAGCATGCGCACGGCAGAAAGGTCGAGTTCGGTACCGTATTCTATGGTGTAATAGCTCGGGTGTTTTAGATTTGTTTAAATGTGGAGCTCTGACTGAATTATATTCGTCCCTAAATCGTATTGTTCCAATTACTTTAAAAAAACAATTCTGTGTTTAAATAATAAAAATAATAAATAAATTTTAAAGTAGCCCAGATTGACCAACATTGGGGTAGATTATGTACTGATATATATTTCTATATCATGTGTATGTTTCTACTACGGTTTTTATGTATAAAATTATGTTATACATAAATTTAATTCATCTGTTTCTGAATGAAAATTCTATATTATGTATATATTTCTATATCATGTTTCTGCTTTTATGTATAAAATTATACATACATGTATTTATGAATGAAAATTCTATATTATGTATGTTGTGGAATGGTGAGACCAAATAACATTCCTAGGTTAGCCAGAGACAGTTTATTGCGGAATAGGTTCAGAGAGGTATGCCTACCAAAAAATCTGAACGACTTTATGATTCTGAGACCCCAGTTTTACACATTTTCAAACAAAGGATTCTGTTAACTCAGCAGTTTATATGGTCATATACATTTGTTATATTTAATTGACATTTCCTAATTACTAAAGTTTCATATTATTCTTGCCAAACAATCATAATTCTGTAAATTACTGGAGCATAGATTCAAATCATCTTCTGACGATAGACAACTTTTAACTCATGTGGATCCCCTTGACCTAACCAACCTTTAAGCTGTATGTCATTAGAATGTTCCCTTCTTCTGACAACTTAGAGGCCTCCTAGAGGAACCAAAAGGATTTTGGCTGAGTTTGTACTTTTTCCAACCGGATGCATTGCTTTTTAGAACAGAGTGAATAGAAAGTTATCCAGTGGTCATCTATCAGAGCCCGCTTCATTTACATTATGTATATATTTCTATCTCATGTTTCTGCTTTTATGTATAAAATTATACATACATGTATTTATGAATGAAAATTCTATATTATGTATATATTTCTATATCATGTCTATGTTTCTACATTTTTTATGTATAAAAGTATGTTATACATAAATTTAATTCATCTGTTTCTGAATGAAAATTCTGTTATGTATATATTTTTATATCATGTCTATTTCTACTACACTTTATGTATAAAATTGTTATACATAAATATATGTATGAATGAAAATTCTATATTATGTATATATTTCTCCTACGCAGCAGGAAAACATAACGACAACCTTGGCTTGGGAGGGGGGGAAAGCGGTTTATGGGAACTGTAGTCCAAATCAAGGCAAGGGCAGCTGCACCGGTGGAACCTCTGCCTGTCTCTTTTGCTTTTGTGTTTCAAAGGATTCGAAAGATTTCTTGGGGGAAAAAAAAGATCCCGGGCGGGCTCCGAAGTCACTCCGGTTCCGCCATCGCCCTCCTGCTCCCCTTTGCTCCAAGATTGGCAGCGATTCTACCGGGAGCCGCTCCGGATTGAAGAACTACATTACCCAGCTTGCTCAGCCTGGTTTGCCTGGAAGAGGCGTGGCGGCTCTTTCACTCTTTTTTCTTTTTCTTTTCTTCTTCTTTTTTTTTTTCGCTTCGGCTTGGGGGAAAAAAAAAATAAAAGGGATCAGGACTCGGTCGGAAATCCCCCAGCATGGCTAACGAATTAAGAGGTGAGTTGCAAAAGCGAAGCGAAGCCGATGCCGCCGCCGGCCAGGTTGCAAAAAAAAATAAATAAATGCAAAATTGCAAAATAATTGCACAAAAAAAAAAAAGGCGAGCCGGGATTGCATTGCAAAAAAAAATAAATGAATGAATGAATCCCGGCTGGGAAAGAGCTGCCAGAGGTTGCAAGCTGGAGGGAGGGCGGTGGGGAGGGGGGTGTCTTGAGGAGGGGGGGGTCTTGGTGGGGGTGTGGAGAAGAAGAAGAAGAAGCCCCCCTTTGCACACCCCCCGGTGGAAAAATCCTGATGCAAAACATGCCTCCGTTGGACTTTTCGCCTGCCGAAGCGTTGTATACTGTGGTGGGTGGTGGGTGATGGGCTGGGAGGGGAATTTGGGGCGGTGGGCACGCTCCTGCCTGCAAATCGGACGGAAAAGCGTTAATGGCCGAGCAGATGCTGCATTCAGGGTCCTTTGCCTGCCTAAGCGCTGTATACTTTGGTGGGGGTGGGAGTGATGGGCTGGGGGGGTTGCATTTGAGGCGGTGGGCGCGCTTCTGCCTGTAAACTGGGTGGAAAAGCCCTGAGGCCAACAATCCCCCCTCCCCCCGGTGGAAGAGCCCTGATGCCTTAGTAGATGCTGCATTCAGGGTCTCTTGCCTGCCTAAGCGCTGTATATACTTTGATGGGGTGGTGGGGGAAGGGCTGGAAGGGGAATTTGGGGCGGTGGGCACGCTTCTGCCTGTAAACTGGGTGGAAAAGCCCTGAGGCCTTAGCAGATGCTGCATTCAGGGTCCTTTGCCTGCCTAAGCGCTGTATACTTTGGCGGGGGGTGGGGTGGCGGGTGATGGGTTAGGGGGGTTGCATTTGAGGCGGTGGGCGCGCTTCTGCCTGTAAACTGGGTGGAAAAGCCAACAATCCCCCCCCCCGGAAGAGCCCTGAATCCCCAGCAGATGCTGCATTCAGGGTCTCTTGCCTGCCTAAGCGCTGTATATACTTTGATGGGGTGGTGGGGGAAGGGCTGGGAGGGGAATTTGGGGCGGTGGGCACGCTTCTGCCTGTAAACTGGGTGGAAAAGCCCTGAGGCCTTAGCAGAGGCTGCACTCAGGGTCCTTTGCCTGCCTAAGCGCTGTATACTTTGGTGGGGGTGGGAGTGATGGGCTGGGGGGGTTGCATTTGAAGCGGTGGGCGCGCTTCTGCCTGTAAACTGGGTGGAAAAGCCAACAATCCCCCCCCCCCGTGGAAGAGCCCTGAATCCCCAGCAGATGCTACTCTGGTGGGGTGGTGGGTGATAGGTTGGGAGGGGAATTTGGGGCGGTGGGCACGCTCCTGCCTGCCAACCGGATGGAAAAGCGCTGATGGCCAAGCAGACGCTGCATTCAGGGTCCTTTGCCCGCCTAAGCGCTGTATACTCTGGGGAGAGTGTAGAGGGGGTGCTGGCTGGGTAGATGGGTGGGTGGGCTGCTCAACTGCAGGGGGGGGACTTGGGGGGCAGTGCGCATGCTCTGGCCGAGAATAATCCCCCCCCCACTGGGCAGAAGAGCGCTGATGCTGGAGTTCATGGACTTTCAACTGTCTTAAGCGCTTTATACTCTGGTGGGGGTGGGTGGGCCTTGGGGGTGGGGGCTGTCTGGATAGATAGGAGGAGGAATTGGGGGACCTGGGGGTGCTCCTGCTGTGGACAACTCCCTTGGAGCCCTGGAGAAGAGCGCTGATGCCCAGTTGGTGTTGTATTCATGGCCCTTTGCCTGCCTAAGCGCTGTATACAGGTAGTCCTCGACTTAACAGCGGTTCGTTTAGTGACCGCGGTTGAAGTTCAACCGGCACTGAAAAAAAGCGACTTATGGCCGTTTTTCACACTTAGCAACCGATGCAGCATCCCTGCGGGTCACTTGGCAACTGACTCACATTGATGACAGTCGCGGTGTCCCGAGGTCACCTGATCCCCTCTTGCGCCCTTCCGACGAGCAACCGTCAACGGGGAAGCCAGATTCACTTAACAACCGTGCTGCTAACTTAACAACTGCCGTGATTCTAAAATGATCTTAGTTGGATGTTTTAAACTTGGCCGAATGATTGAATTATTTTAATAAGCTTTTAATTTTTGTTGTACATGGCTGTTCACCGCTCTGAGTCCCTCGGGAAAAGGGTGGTATACAAATATAATAAACTATAACTATTTGCAGAGGTCTTCAAACTTGGCAGCTTTAAGACTTGTGGACTTCAACTCTCAGAATTCTCCAGCCAGCATAGCTGGCTGGAGAATTCTGAGAGTTGAAGTCCACAAGTCTTAAAGCTGCCAAGTTTGAAGACCTCTGGCTTAGTCACTGTGACAAGAAAAGTCTTAAAATCGGACTTAAAACTCACTTAACAACTGTTTTACTTAGCGACAGAATTTTGGGGGCTCCATTGTGGTCGTAAATCAAGGACTACTACCTGTATTCAGGTGAGGTGGAGGGGGGGAGGTTTAGCAATGCTGTCTGAATCCGATCCTTGAGTTTTATGGAGCTTCCCCTCTCCTCCCAGGTGGAGAGTTACAGTACCGGATGCCCAGGTGGGGTGGGAAATCTGCTTTTCAGGCCCTGCCCACCTCCCCTCCGGTGTCTGCTCAGAGGGGAATCTCTAACCTGCCTACCTGGCTGCCAATTTAGAGAGGCATCCTGCGGTCACGTGGTTTTCTTGCCTCCCCCCCCTCCGGCCTTATGGCAGGGAGCGTATGGGCCAGATCTAAAATTCAAAAAGCGAGGGAGATCAGACGAGGATATTGGGTGGAAGGTACCTGGAGACCCCCAACCCCCTCTTTGCAGTAATCCACAGTTCTTGCCAAACTCACCTGAGTTTGGAAACTAAGCTGCATTAAGCCTGTGTGTGGGTGGGTGGGGGGAGATTATATTCCAAATTATCCTGGGAAATAGGGTGGTTTTTTTTTTAAAAAAAAACCAAAAATCTAGAGAAAACTCAACGTGACCATTTTCAATCACAGCATCTTGGCTCGAAGGAGCCTTTGGGGGGGGGGACTCCCTGCAAAG